GTTGCCCAGGCTGGAGTGCAATGGCGCAATCTCAGCTCACTGCAACCTCTGCCTCCCAGGTTCAAGCAATTCTCCTGCCTCAGCGTCCAGAGTAGCTGTGATTACAGGCATGCACCACTACACCCAGCTAATTTTTGTATTTTTAGTAGAGACGGGGTTTTACCATGTTGGCCAGGCTGGTCTCGAACTCATGACCTCAAGTGACCCGCCCGCCTTGGCCTCCCAAAGTGCTGTGATGACAGGCATGAGCCACTGCTCCCGGCCTTGCCTTTTCATTAAAACTTTAGAATCAGCCGGGCACGGTGACTCAAGCCTGTAATCCCAGCACTTTGGGAGGCCGAGGCGGGTGGATCACAAGGTCAAGAGATCGAGACCATCCTGGTCAACATGGTGAAACCCCGTCTCTACTAAAAATACAAAAAAATTAGCTGGGCATGGTGGCGCGTGCCTGTAATCCCAGCTACTCAGGAGGCTGAGGCAGGAGAATTGCCTGAACCCAGGAGGCGGAGGTTGCGGTGAGCCGAGATCGCACCATTGCACTCCAGCCTGGGTAACAAGAGCAAAACTCCGTTTCAAAAAAAAAAAAAAAAACTTTAGAATCAGTTTGGTGATACAGCAGGACCTCATTTATAAATGGGGACAATCTATGGGCTGAGGCTATCTTGGAAAACACTTTCTGGGTGGTGACTCCTTGATTCGTAGGTTGCTTATATTACCACAAAGGAACCTTAAACCAAGTATGTCCTTACTTTTCCTTATTGCAGTTGGAGGACAACAGTACACCTGAACCAAAGGAAAATGGGGAGGAAGGCTGTCATCAGAATGGTCTTGCCCTCCCTGTAGTGGAAGAAGGGGAGGTTCTCTCACACTCTCTGGAAGCAGAGCACAGGTAAGTGAGGGAAGACATCACAGGGCATGCAGTATATGACCCTTAAGGACCTTGAACATACTGGAGAAGATACCTCAGATAGAGGCCCACATGCAGAGAGAAGTGGCCCGATTAAAACTTGTTTTCTGTGTATGCCCCAGGTTGGTCTGTTGCCCATCAAGCATTCTTTCCTAGACTCAGCCATCTTTTTCACAGTCTGCTCTCCAAGACTTTAATATATTTTAACTTCAGGCCAGGCGGAGTGGCTCACACCTGTAATCACAGTACTTTGGGAAGCTGAGGTGGTGGATGGATCACTTGAGATCAAGAGTAGTTCGTGACCAGTCTGGCCAACGTGGTGAAACCTTGTCTACTAAAAATACAAAAATGAGCTGGGCATGGTAGTACATGCCTGTAACCCCAGCTACTAGGGAGGCTGGGACAGGAGAATGGCTTGAACCCAGGAGGCAACAGCTGCACTGAGCTGAGATTGCACCACTGCACTCTAGCCTGGGTGACAGAGGTGCCATCTCAACAACAACAAAAAGCCTTTCTTAGAAAGCAAGTGCTGTTTCTTCCTTAATGCTATCTTGGTTTCTGCTTCTGCTGTCTCTTCTGTAGCTCTTCCTCTCTCAACAGTGAAGAGCCTCCAGTTATTTATAATCACTTAAGTAGCTGAAATTAAAGCTTATCCTACAGGGAGGAAAACAATTCCTTCTTTAATATCAGTTGCCCCTGGGCAGAAAAGTTTTCTGTGGAAAGTGGTAAGCTGTTCACTTAGGCTTAATGATGGCATATTTTCTTTACCTCTCCTTCTATGTCTGCCAGGTTATTGAAAGCAATGGGATGGCAAGAATATCCTGAAAATGATGAGAATTGCCTTCCCCTCACAGAGGATGAGCTCAAAGAGTTCCACATGAAGACAGAACAGGTTTGTTGTCAGCCTTTTTCCTAGAGACCAGTTCGTAACCTGGAGAATAAGGAGTCAGGACAATCCTTGCCATTAAGGAGCCTAGTTTCATGTGAGAGAAAGACTTTGGGGAAAAAGATTACCTTAGTAGAAATATAGTGGGGCTCCTAAATCTGCCTGGGAAATAAGGATCTCCAGTGGTGGATACAAAAACTAAGTGTCAGTGATTAGCAGATTCTAGAAAATATTATGCTCTTTCATCCTCACAGCTCTAACTCCTTACTAGAACCACAGGCTGTGTTCCAGAGTTATGGTCTGAGCTCTTGGTCTTTAAGGAAGCAGGTTCACCTTCTCTGCTTCCTGTTCTGCGCTGTAGTTTCCTGGTCCTCTGGCCAGAGCTAAATAGCTTGTGTCAGTTTTTCCAACAGTTGCTTGGATTCTTTCTCTGAATAAAACACTGCTACATCTAGGGTGAACAAGACAAATGAGATTTCTACAAAAATCCTTGAACTTCTGGTGGCATATATTTATAGCACAAATTATTATTGGCTATGTCTTTAAAAGGGGCACAGCACAGGCTGACGTGAGACCTTGACACTCAGAACTCTGTTAGAACTAAAGACTTTTGGCTGGGTTCAGTGGCTCACGCCTATAATCCCAGCATTTTGCGGGGGGCCAAGGTGGGCAGATCACGAGGTCAGGAGTTCAAGGCCAATATGGTGAAACCTCCGTCTCTACCAAAAGTACAAAAATTAGCCAGGTGTGATGGTGTGCACCTGTAGTCCCAGCTACTCAGGAGGCTGAGGAAGAAGAATCACTCGAACCCAGGAGACAGAGGTTGCAGTGAGCCAAGATCGCACCACTGCACTTCCAGCCTGGGCAACAGAGCAAGGCTGTCTTTTGTCCAGCCTGGATGACAAAGCAAGGAATAAGGACTTTCAGGCCCCGGGCCAGGTGCGGTGGCTCAAGCCTGTAATCCCAGCACTTTGGGAGGCTGAGGCGGGCGGATCACAAGGTCAAGAGATCGAGACTATCCTGGCCAACATGGTGAAACCCTGTCTCTACTAAAAATACAAAAAATTAGCTGGGCGTGGCGGAGTGCACCTGTAGTCCCAGCTACTTGGGAGGCTGAGGCAAGGGAATTGCCTGAACCCAGGAGGCGGAGGTTGCAGTGAGCTGAGATTGAGCCACTGCACTGCAGCCTAGTGCCTGGTGACAGAGTGAGACTCTGTCTCAAAAAAAAAAAAGGACTTTGAGGCCCCATCCTAGACATACTGAATCTGGATCTGCATTTTTGAAAGATGGGTAGATGACTCATTGTACATTAAAGTTTTGAAAGCACTGCTATAAGGGATCTTGGAGGGTTTCTTAGAAGCACCCCCACTCCACATTCTACCTATAATTGAATTGAGGCCTGGCCTTTCCCAGGGCTCATGGGTCAGTACAGACATTGATGTTTTTTTTCTTTTTCTTTCTCTCCCATACTAACCACAGCTGAGAAGAAATGGCTTTGGAAAGAATGGCTTCTTGCAGAACCGCAGTTCCAGCCTATTCTCCCCTTGGAGAAGCACTTGCAAAGCAGAATTTGAGGACTCAGATACCGAAACCAGTAGCAGTGAGACATCAGATGACGATGCCTGGAAGTAGGCATATAATGCTCACCATTAGATCAGACCCAGTAAACTCTGTGTGTTTAGGGAGTATACAAAAGAAATCGTTCTTTTCCTTTTCTTACATTGTTGAATACGTCATTCAGAAGGGAAATAATCATATCCCAAAGACAGAGCGATTGGCTTGTTTTGCTTTTGTTGTTGTTCTTCCCTGTTATCTGCTTAATAGAGAGAAGTTTGTGTGGTGGAACAGATTTTTTAAACATACACACACACGCACACACACACACACATAGTATATATGGGGCGATGCACAGGTAGGAGCTGGCAATGCAGAGAGAAGAGACACTGGTCTGCAGCAACAGCTTCTACTACCAGCCCTTGGGGCACTCACCCCTGTGCTCAAGCAATCATTGTCAATGACAAAGTGACTATTGAAGTTATAATTGTATTAAATTAATGCTAATAATTTGGATATTTTATTTTATTTTTGGCTGCTCGGGTAACTTTAGCCCTTAACCAAGCATATGTGGTTTTATGTTTTTTTGTTGTTTTTTTTCTTTTTCCTTTTTGGGTACAGCTGTAAAATATTTGGATATAGGAAATGTTGTGTTATTCTTGCAGCCTTGATATTCAGGGTGGATTGTAAAATATAAATTTTTGTGAGATTTCAAAGATTAAGATTATTTTGATAACATTATTTACAGATTTAAAAGATGCGGTTATCACAAGTCTTGAGGGGGAAACTACTGCATAAAATAACTAACTTGGAATAAATATTTTGCATCAGTTTGGATTGTCTGGTGTAAGAAGTATATTTTCTTTAAAATCAGATGAGTGGATTCTTTTTTAGGGGAAATATTTTTAGAAGTTGAGGGGAATGTGAATTTCAGACACAACTGTTTCTCTTTTTAGCAGATACTTTTTTGATGCAGAAAAACCTGTGCAATAAATTCAGTAATAAAGTCAGAAACCAAATTTTTTTTTTTCTCAAACTGTTTTTTAGTGCCCATGTATTTACCAATGTACATATTTTAAGGGAAGTCTGTTCTGTTTTCCTACTGAATAAGAACTTGGAGTGGGGACTGGGGGAGAGTTGAATGGTGCTAGCTGGATGGCTAGTGGAGAAAGCAGGTTTTTTAATTCATCAAATACTTTCTAATCCCTTGTTGTAAGTTGTAGGCATTATGCAAGGCTGTAAGGTTGCATGGAGTACCCAGCCCAGCAGGGGAGAGAATAGACAGTAACCTAAGAAAAGGCCAAGTGTTCAGGAGCGGCCTGGGGAACACAGCAACCTGTCTCTACAAAAAAATAAAATCATTAAAATAGCCAGATCTGGCCAGGTGCAGTGGTTCATGCCTGTAATCCCAGCACTTTCGGAGTCCAAAGTGGGTGGATCAACCGAGGTCAGGAGTTCGAGACCAGCCTGGCCAACATGGCAAAACCCCATCTCTACTAAAAATACAAGAAAAATTAGCAGGTGTGGTGACAGGTGCCTGTAATCCCAACTACTTTGGAGGATGAGGCAGAAGAATTAATTACTTGAACCTGAGAGGCAGAGTTTGCAGTGAGCCGAGATGGTGGCATTGCACTCCAGCCTGGGCAAAAGAGCAGAGACTCTGTCTCAAAAACAAAATAGCCAGGTCCACATGGTGGCAGACAGTTGTAGGCTAGCTTTTCAGGAGGCTAAGGGAGGAGGATTGCTTGATTCCAAGAGAGTTCAGGGCTACGGTGAGCCGTGATGGCACCACTGCAGTCTAGCCTGGATGACAGAGTGAGACCCTATCTCTTGGTGGGGGGTGGTAATAATAGTTTTTCTACTGAATACCTATCACTGTTGCACCATTGTAAAGTCAAAACAATCAAAAGTCTAACCATTGAAATTGGGACAAACTTAGTTATTGAAAAATAGACTTTGCTATTATTCTCTCAGAACGTATTGCTAAAAATGTATTCTATGTCATTTGGAATTAAGCTGAACTGAGATGACATACTTTGAACACTTTTTAACTTGCTGCTGGTCAGTCATACCTTGACTTTAGGTACTGTGTAAGGAAATGTCTCAAGTCCCTATCTTGGTTAGAAAAGGGGGTTTCTTAAGAAATACGTGGCCATCTCAGAGCTTCTGCATATCTTTGAGAGAGGGGAGTCAAGAATTTGACCAACAGTTAAGGTCCTTTTTGGCTTCTGGCCAATCTTGGAAGAGAAAGGGTTTCTTTCTGGACTTGATTCCCTCATCTGATAGATTCCTTCTGTTCTCTCACAGCTTTCATTTCTTGGACTGTGCTGATTAACTCCATCTACAGCTAAAAAACAAATCAGGGAATGGGAGTTAGAAACTGCTATCCCTGGTGTGACATGGTTTCCAGGCAGAATGCTGGAAAGGTCAGAGTGCCTCCTTTACAAAGTAGTTCTCTGGATTGGAGACTGGTAGAGACTGTTAACACAGCAGTGAAAAAGATGACACTTGCCTTTTAGAGGCTATTAAATGACCAATGATGGAGTAAGTGATAAGGGTCCAGCTAGTCTAGGAAGCAGCTGTTTTTCCTCCTTATTAACAGGGAAACCAATATACAGTTAGAGATTTGCCCACATTCAAACTTCGTACTACTTTTTCAAGCCAGTGGCTCCTCCCAGACAGCCAAGGTTTCCCCACCCATTCTCCTGACCTGCCCAGGCCTGTGGTTGCTGTCCAGGGAGCTAAGGCTCTCCCCAAACATAAACTTGAAGATCTCGCAGACTTAACAGACCTGGCCTTTCTTCTCTACCTTGCTTTCTCTTTCATCCCCTTCTGCCTTTCCCCTGCTCTTGCTCCCTTCTGCAGGTCTTGGCTGATTTCAGGAAACTGGTCCCATCCATGGACTCCCACTCTGGGGAGCCAGAGCTCCTTCCCTGTAGGACCTGTGACATGGTTTTCCGCTCCTCAGCTCTGTTAGCCGCCCACACACAGCGCTTCTGCATTGGCCACCCGACCCAAGAGATGACATTTGGAGCACAGGCCTCAGTTGACACTGAACTCCAGCAGGCTGCGGTAAGGGCTTCTGTGGCCATGGGTGGGGATTGAAAGGAGCAGGACCTTACAATTCCTCATCCTACTACACCCTGTCCCCAGGTTGTACCACAAGAACTCCAGGGCCTCCCAGACCAGCAGACCAGTAAATCTGCTCTAAAGAGTTTAGCAGAGGAGGTAGGGCCACCTACCTTTCCCCAGGGCTCAAAATGTTGAGCATCTTACCCAAACCGATCATACTTGGGACAGATTCTGCCCATACAAAAGATCAAGGATTATTTACCTCCAGGTGCAGTGGCTGCGGCTGTCCCTACAGGAAATGTGGCCCTGGATAACAGAGGTCCCCAGGGTGTCCGCGCGGCCCTGGGCGCATTCCGAGGCGCGGCCTCAGAGCCCCTTGTCCAAGGCGGTGGGAAGCCCCAGCGAGCGGCTGCGGGCGCTGCTTAGGAGTCGCGCAAGGCGCGTGGTGGAGACGGAAGCTCAGAGCCGGGCCCTGCAACGACGCGGCGAGGGTGAAGGAGAATGGCGGGGACCAAGGACCTCCTCTGCCCTCGCCCTTTGACTTAAGCTTGCTCGGCCTGGTTCTGACTCTGTCCTGCACTCCCTCAGAACTGAGCCAGCGCCTCCAAGGTGTGGCGCGCCCATGGGGCGGGATGGCCCGCCTATCTGTCCTGGAGCGGGAGATTCGGGAACTCCGAGCTGAGGCCGGGCAGACGCAGGGAGCTCTAGAGGTGTTGGGGGCCCGCGTTCAAGAGCTGCAGACGGAGACAGGGTAAGGCCTGACGTAGCGCACCCCCGGAACGTGCAGCTGCGGGGCGGGAGTGGCGGGCTGGCTGTTGCTCGGGCCTCTGATGCGTCACCGTCTGAGTGTTGCCTGCCACCCCAGCACCACACTGAACTCCGGGCGAGAGACAGAACTCTATTGTCCAGTGTTAAAGGCCAACCCGGGAACTCTGGCTGCCGAAATCTGGTGAGGGCCAGGGTCCAGAAATGGGCATGGGGCGAAGCGCTGAGCAGTTCTGGAAAGACGGCCTTCCTGTCCCCCACTCACTAGGGCCCTGCGGGAGGCCTACATTCAAGGTGGAGGACGGGACCCCGGCGTGCTGGGCCAGATGTGGCAGTTGCAGGTGGAGGCATCAGCACTGGAGTTGCAGCGGTCGCAGACCCGCCCAGGTGAACAGGAGGGCCTGTCGGCAGCGGTGGTCAATCCTGGGAAGAGAAAAAAACCCGAGGGAGGGCCTGTGGCTGTGGATAGGATGTAGGCTGTCAACTCCAGCCTTATCCAAAGAGCCTTAGTGTTGGAGGGCTGCTCAGGTCTCTGGAGGTCACACTTGTTCATTGCAGGAAGGGCAGGTGCCTCCTCAGGGGAGCTTCCAGTAGTGGAGGCTGAAAACCGGCGCCTGGAGGCAGAAATCTTCGCCTTGCAAATGCAGCGGGGTCAGGCACCCTTGGGTCAGTGAATACCCCAACCTTATCCCATCCCACCTATCCCTCCCCAGCAGGCCTGGCTCAGGCAGTGTATGGGGAACAAGACCCGTGTTTGTCACCCCCTAGGTCGTGTCTGCATGTGTGTATTCCTGTGTCCTCAGGGATCTGCCACCCATTTATGGGCCCAGCTCTTGGGGAAGGGGTGTCTCAGCTGGTTCCCTTTGTCCAACTTAGGGGCACCCTAAAACTCTTCTGCTCCCAGGGCCCCAGGATCTGCGACTCTTGGGAGGTCCCAGCCACCGACTGAAGGGCAGGAGAAATCCCCCACTCCTCCCACCGCCGCCGGTGGCACCTCCGCTGCCGCCACTTCCAAGCTTCAGGGAGGTACGGTTCTTAAGTGGCTTGGGAAAGGCTGTGAGAGTAACAGGGTGGAGTTGGTAGAGGGGGGAGCAGGTTGGGAGCTCTGTCTGAGCAGTTGGGGGAACATGGGCATTTACAAGGCTTTCCAGAGGAGTCAACTCTCTTCCCCATAGCCACAGCTTCCTGGAACAATGACCAGAAACTTGGGCCTGCACCCATACTTCCTCCTGCCCACATCGGACGTCCTGGGCCCTGCACCCTACGATCCTGAGTGAGGCCTATGCCATCTTTGACACCCTCTGTGACTTGGCCAGCACTGCTGGTTAAGGGAGCCCACTAGGGCCATATAGGATTGGGGAGCTGCCTTAAGAGGAGGGAGGTTAACAGGAGTTGGGTGTGTCTGTGCTAAGACTTTTATGTCCCCCAGGGCTGGCCTGGTCATTTTCTATGATTTTCTGCGGGGCCTTGAGGCTTCCTGGATTTGGGTGCAGCTAAGGACTGGCTTGGCATGCAATGGACAGGATACAGAAGGGACCACAGCAGTGCCCCCAGCCCTTTGCCTGCCCCCACCTCCCGCTCCCGGGCCCACGGGCAACTGTGCCATCCTTGCTAGCAGGCAACCTGTGCCCAGGTCAGTAGGTGGGGATCATGACTCTGGTACTCTGCCACAATTGAGGCTTATTCATCATTCTGCTAAGTTTTCTCGTCTGTATAGAAAGTCCACTGGCTCTGAAGGGCTAAGTCCTAGGAAGGGACTGCAGCTCTGGTTTCCAACACTGCTTTTTGGTTATTCTACAGACTGCCACCCTCACCATCAGTATCATTGGTCTGTGAGCTGCAGGTCTGGCAGGGGCTGGCATGGACTAGGGCACCACAGCCAAAGGCTTGGGTCTCACTTGGGCTATTTGACCAAGATCAGCGGGTGCTAAGTGGCCGCTGGCGCCTCCCACTTCGGGCCCTTCCTCTAGACCCTAGCCTTAGCCTTGGGCAACTGAATGGGATTCCTCAGGTGAGTGTGGAGGGCGGGCATTGGGCATACACCAAGGTACAAATGTAATACTATTCCATCTTTCCCCAGGCAGGTCAGGCTGAGCTCTTTCTGCGGCTGGTAAATGCAAGAGATGCAGCTGTCCAGGAACTGGCAGAGATCAATCCAGCAAGTGTCCATGAGTACCAGTACCCACCTCTGGTGAGGGCCCAACTACAGCTAGGGATACCACAGCTACCCGTACCAGTGTGGCTGGTAGGGCTAACAGCCAGCCTTTATTGACCACTCATGAGTGGTCAGTCATTAGCAATGCTTCCTTGTTTGATGCTCATATCTATATGAAGTCCTACATAATAGATAAGGGAATCAAAGCGGGATCAGTTAAACTTGGTTCATAGTGAGACCTAACTCCAAAACCTATGTGCTTAACTTTTACATTTTTGCTCCAAACCTGCTTTCTCCCTGTTCCACAGGTATCCAGCACGTCTTCACTGGAAGCCAACTTCTTCACCCCCACAGTTGGGTTTGCTGATCCCCTACCTCCTACAGAAGAGCCCCTCAGTGGCATCAAGGAGAGATGAGGGTTTGGGCCTTCACCAGTTCTGACTTGCCCCAGTGAGTTTCTGAACCCAAGTGAATAAGGGGATGAGCATCTGAACATACACAACTGGGGCCTAGATGGAGGCCTATTTGCAGACCTACAGCTTTACTACTTTATGTTCTGACATTGGGTCTAGAAGCAACTAGCAGCTGAGTTGAGAATATGAGCTCCAACCACAGCTTTACCATCATCTCCCCCAAGTCCTTAATTTTTCTATACCTCTTCTGTTTTTTATAAAGCAGACTAAGGATTAAATGAGTGGTCAGGTATTTATGCTATTGTCTGGCACATATACAGGTGACTAGGGGGCATTCTTTAATTCCAACGAAAGTTTAACTATAAATTCCCACTGGTTTTTTGGTAAAGCCAGTTTTATCACCAAACTTATTCAAATCTGTTTCCTCAGTACTTCTGCCAGGAAACCTTTCAGGTTGCTCAAGATACCCATAAACAGGAAACTCCTGCGGCCTTATGTACTTAGATTCTGGGATAGGGCCCCAGCCTAAGGTTGTTCCCCCACAAGGGTTACATGTGAGACCTAGATAAAATGAGATACTGTGCCTAGCCCTAGTTCCTAGTGCCAACCAGAGGTGGTCAAGCACCTGGGAGTAAACTACATCATGACTGTCCTGACCAATAAAGGGGAAAAAAGCAGATTGCAGAGACATGCCTGCAATCCCAGCTACTTGGGAAGCTGAGGCCAAGAGTATTGCTTAAACCCAGGAGGCAGAGATTGCAGTGAGCTGAGATCGTGCCATTGTACTCCAGCCTGAGCAGCAAGAGTGAAACTGTCTCAAAAACAAATAAAAAATGAGGCTATTAAAAGGGGGGGCGGGGGGAGCAGGGCAAGGAGTCCTCAGGACCTGGAACATATATTGCAAGGGCATTTTCAGGAAGAAACTCCGAAGCCAGGATAACCAGCCCAGAAAAACTCCTAGTCTGAAAAATGGGATTAAGTTGAGGGGTTGGCCTAGAGCAGCCCTACAGGTGTCAAGACTACTAAATTGAATCCCCTTGGGTGATGCAGGGTAGGCACTGTTTGGAATTCAGATCCTAACAGGTTCTTAAACTGAGTCTGGTCAGAGGCAGTTCAGTCTCAAGAAAGCCCTGAACACTAGACACTAGTGAGAGCCCAACCCGGATGGCATTACTACTAGTGCCTTCACCAGCAGCATCTTTGGGGTGGTGGTTTCTGTCTTTCAAACCCTCTACTGCACATAGAAATACTCCAGGCAGTCAGGTGCGGTACCGCACCTGGAATCCTGGCACTTTGGGAGGGTGAGGTGGGCACATCACTCTGCATCAGGAGTTTGCGACCAGCCTGGACAACATGGTGAAACCTCACCCTCCAGTAAAAATACAAAAATTAGCCAGGTGTGGTGGTACTGGCCTGTAGTGTTACCTACTCAGGAGGTTGAGGCAAGAGAATCTCTTGAACCCAGGAGGGGCAGACGTTGCAGTGAGCAGAGATTGCACCTCAAGAAAAAACAGCCTAGGATCCCTCTGTAAGATCTTTAAACACAATTCCAGACCAGGAGATTTTTAGCATCTTTATTTGAGAAGTCAATTCTGTAGATGGGTAACAATTCCAAGTGTTGATATATTCCAACCTCTATATACAGAAAATAACAAACTCAACCAGCCAGCCTCCCCACGTATTCTTCCATCCACATCTGAACTGTCCATCACCATCAGTCCCTTGTACTTTCAAACCAGAGCTCAAGTGTAAACTGTTTTCCTTAGGGATCATTCCCCCAACCCATGTTTTCTTCAGAGTTCGTTTTCCAGGACAGAAATATAGCCCCAGTTGAAGACGAGGTGGATGTAAGACAAGTACCATCCTAACCCTGGCTCACAGCCAAAGTCCATTATCCATTTTCAGCACCAAAGAGCAAGATATTCACCAAGTCTTGTTTTTGTAGCCCCCATCCAGAGACAGCACCACTGAAGGTTGCAAGACAGCTGGGTTCAGTGAAGTAGTTGAAAACAAAAGAAATATAGCACCATTGGAAAACAAAGGCCTACAGCCACACTTAATCAACTCTACGTTAGACAGACAGGAATTAGGGATCAGGACTTGCAACACAGATCGGTACAGAAGGCCAAAACAAAACCTTTAGCTACTATATAAAACGAGGAGTGCTCCAAGGCAGATTCAGTCAATTAAGAAAAAAAACATCAAAGCCTCAACCTTTGCTTACAATCTTTATTGAAGTTATACAAAAAGAATCCTCCAAAAGTGAAAAAATACATTATATACAAAAACACTTTCCCTTGGGAGGAAGGCTCTGCCCCCTCTTAACATGCAGTGCTTTCAACTGTAGCGCCAGCCTCCACTGTCCCCTCCACTGCCACTCGGCTTTCAGCCTGTTTCTCAGCCTGGAAGATAAATGGAGCCTGGGCATGAGTGAGCCTACTTTAAGCCATTCTGTCTTACATAAGTCAGGCCTCAGTCAAAGGAACTACATACAAATCACCCAAACTCTGCTTTGCTCCCTCTATTAAGAGGGCAGTGACCACAATGTACAAGGACATTTCTTGAATTCTTTGTGATAATAGGGCTGACAGAGCCAATAATCCTATCACATGAAAAGGAGAAATGACCTAATGGTTTTTTTTCGCAGGTCCTGAGAACAAGGAATGAGGCAAGAGGCCAACCCCTGCTTAACTGCCCACCTCCTCTGTGTTTTCCAAAACTTCATTTCCACTGGAGACAGCATCCCCACTGCCTCCATTCACCTCCAGCTCTTGTTTGGCTTTCTTTGCATCATCTTTCCGGGGACTCTCTTCCTCTGGTTTCCTCTGAAGAGATAATTATAAAGACTTCACAAATGTGCTTAATGTTTTTAAAAAGACAACTGAAAAACATTTCCTCAATCCTTGTGGGGCAAAGATCCTGAACACCAAGATTCACAGGTCTAAGGGTCTCTCTCTCTAGCCACAGACAGATGCTAACCTGTACTCTCAGAATAAATCTGTCCCATCATAACACTCGAGGCCTCTGTACCAAAAGCAGAGTGGGGTAAGGTTGGGGTGAGGAGGTGTGAATGGAAATTACTGTAGAAGTTTGGATTCCTGTGTTTGAGTCAGGGAAGTTTGACTTCCCCTATCCACCAAAAGAAAACAGCCACCGCCAACTGTAGGCAAAAGGCAGACTAAGTACCAATAGGCCTGCTGCTGAATGACTACTGTCAAAGAAAACCTGCCAGCTGCTAATCCAATCCTCCTCTGCAGCTTTCATGATAGTCCTTTGGGCTTTAAAAGGCCAGGACTCTTTCCTAGAAGAGATGTACAAATAAAACCTGTCTTCACAGTCAGGAACAGTAGCTCATGCCTGCACTTTGGGAGGCCAAGGCAGATGGATCACGAGGTCAGGAGTTTAAGACCAGCCTGGTCAATATGGTGAAACCCCATCTCTACTAAAAGTATAAAAATTAGCCGTGCATGGTGGCACTTGTAGTACCAACTACTCGGGAGGCTGAGGCAGAAGAATTGCTGGACCAGGGAGGCGGAGGTTGCAGTGACCTGAGATCACACCACTGCACTCCAGCCTGGGCAACAGAGCAATACTCCGTCTCAAAACATACCCACACACACACACCTGTCTTCACTTACAAATCTTTGGAAAAAATGTCTTACATGTACCAACTATATAGAGAGGGGTTTATAGGAAAGGTATTAAAAATGGAGTCTGAGGAAAAGGTAGAAAACACTGCATGCAGACTTACCTTCTTTCTAACAAGGTGGGAAATATCAGTTACACAATTTGATGAGGAAGCACCGTCTGTTGGCTTTCTACTGGCAATCTGGCAAAATAAGTCTTTATTAGTAATTGTTCAAGCTATACAAGAGCAATGCTAAGGCTTATATGATTTACTTTTGTGTTTAGTTTTTTAGAGACAGTCTCACTATGTTTCTAAGGCAAGTATTGAATTCCCAAGCCTCAAGCAATCCTCCTGCTTTGGCCTCCCAAAGTGCTGGGATTACAGGCAAGCGCCACCACACTGTGCCAATACTGAGACTTAGTAAGTGACCAAAAACCACCTGAATACCCACCATAGAGACTGAAGAGACTCCTCCACTAGGAGTAAAACCTGAAGTAGAGCTCTCCACCTGTATGTGAAATGACAAACCCAAATTGGTTTCAGGATAGAACCCAGCCACTCACAGGTACCAATCACCAACCAAACAACTGACCTCAAATGCTAGTTGCCTCCATGTAGTGTGAAGATCATCTAACCCTGGCCAACCTATGCCTGTCTAGCAGCCACCCAAAGCACAGTCAGAGTGCACATAATAAACTAAATCTTCCATATCCTACCTGCAGGGTAAAAAGCTCTGTGACATCCTGACAGCCAAAAACAGTACCAGGCAATTTGTGGTGAATGCCTCTCAGTAAGTCACCAATTTATGCAAATTAAGTTCTCAGATGGAAACAGCAACTTACATTTGTTAAGAAATGTCTATTTGTCCAGTACTGTCAGAAGTATTATATTTTATACATATGTACTACAGGTTGGGCATCCCATCTCTTAATCCAACAATCTGAAACTTTTTGAGGACTGACATGACACTCAAAAGGAAATACTCTCTGGAGCATTTCGTATTTTGGGTTAAAGACATCCAACTGTTAGTATGATGCAAGTATTCCAAAATCCAAAAGCATCTGAAATGCAAAAACACTTCTGGTCTCAAGCATTCAGGTAAGGATACTCAAGCTGTATTATCCATTTTTCAAATGGGTCAACTGAGGGAGAGAAATGCCCATGGCCACACACACTAAGTATGGAATTAAAACCGAGATAAGTCTGGGGCTCCAGGGTATTTCCTCTTAACCACTATATTATTTGATAGGAATAATGAGATGAGCCCACCAACTGCGTGGAACCCAAGTCATGATGAAAAGTTCCCGGCAAATGGAGTACTAACATAAATGGTACAAACATACTATTATCAAAATCTTAAAAGGAAACGGAACCAACCAGAGTAGCTTTCAGAGCCAGTTCAGCTACATTCCCACTACGCTGGGACTCCTTTGCATCTTCTATCTTCTCTCTAATTTCAGGTAGCAGTTCCTTCAGCTCCTCAATTTCTTTCTTACATTCAGCAGATGATCGTTCTGCCTCCTTCACTTGCTCATTTAGTACAGCTGTAAAAAGAAGAAGTGATAAGTAACAGCACAAAAAAGAACCACTTTTTTCCTTGTTAATTGCTGGATCCAGCATCACCATGAAGCAGCTCGTCTTCACTCACCCATTCTCTTCTCAATAACTTCAATAGATTTGCTGAACTGTGCCACTGCCTCATCATACTGAGAGTTGTACCCATAAGCCAAGCCCAGCTGGTAGTGGGTCTCTGCAAGGAGACGGTCATGGGCTTCCAAGTACTGTTCCTGCAGGTTTAGGCAGGACTGGAATTCCTCCACAGCTTGTACATAGTTCTCTAACGAAGAGAGAAAGAGCAAGTAAATGGACAGCATTTAACATAAAATACTTCCAGAATTCAGACCCATCCTACGGGAATATATCCCTATTTAATATTTCATTTTTGTATGTAGTATGTTTCCAATCCCCTTGACTATAAAGAATGTCAAAATGACTTTTAAAAATCTACTCAAAGACTTTCTATCAGAGTACCATTTGGAAGAGACTGTTCATTGTTCCATGTTCTACAGGGAATCTAAACCTGTCTTTTTAAATCAAGTTGGGTTCTAGAGAATTTGTTATGGGGAGAACAGGAGAGATGAACAGAGTAGGAGAGTATAAAATGGAAAATGCATTACCAGATTCAACACTGACTTCTCCGAGTTTAAGATGCGCCTGGGCAGCATAAAGCTGGGCTTCTTTTGTTTCTTGCCTAAAAGAAGGAAAGCTGATGGAAAACCTTAACGGTACTTGTCTATCCCTGATTTCGACTTAATCACCAAGCTCCCAACCTGAGCCTAGAAGCACTAAGAGTTTTACCTTTTAAAAATGATCTTTGCTAAATCCAGCATATCCCAGGCAAGCTCTAGATTCCCAATCTCCTCCTCTTCATTTTCCTGAGGAGACTAAAGTATATCCAAATCAAAAAGATAGGCATCTTTTTACAGTACAAATCTAAATGTATAATTTAGCATAGCTAAAAACAAAATAGTTGACATACAATTCAAAATTTGAACTTTCTCCCTATAATCTAGAGAATGGGTCCACATACTATCCTAAATCATGACCACGTCAGTGGTATTTAACAGTGAAATGTTGGGTCACATATTAACACACATGACCCCTAATCAATATATCCTTACATCCTAGTCATGAATAAAGAGTCCCTAATTCATAACCAAGAGATAATTATAATAATCATTCCTAGGGCTGGGCATGGTGGCTCATGCCTATCAAACACTTTGGGAGGCTGAGGCAGGAGGAATATTTGAGGCAAGGATTGAGACTAGCCTGGGCAGCGTAACATCTAAACAAATAAAATTAAGAGAACAAATTAACCAGGCATGGTGGCAGATATCTAGAGACCCAGCTATCTCAGAGGCTGAGGTGAGAGGATTCCTTGAGCTCAGGAGGCTGAAGATACAATGAGCCATGTTCATGCCAGCCTGGGCAACAGAAACAGGGATTCTATCTCTTTAAAAAATAATCATCGTGCCTAAACTAGTTAAGCTACAGTCCTGCAAATTAGCTGGCCATGTTGGCATAAGCCTGTAGTCCCAGCTACTTGAGTGGCTGACGTGAAGGGATTACTTAAGCCCAGAGGGTCTAGGCTGCAGTGAGCCATGATCATGATCACCCCACTGCAATCCAGCCTAGGCAACAAAGTGAGCTCCTGTCTCCCCAAAAAGGAAAAAGGCTGACAATAGTACTGAGTGGCTAACAATGTACCTTGTTTTCAAGGACTGAATCGTTTGGCATTTCTTCAGCCTTATCATTTTCTTTATCATCTTCTTCTGAGCCTTCAGTTTCTAGAAGTAAAAATTCCTCAGTATTGAGAATGTAACTAAGAGTATCTTCTGACTACTCAGACATTCCAATACACGTGTCAACCTATATTCAGAGATAGGATAGGCCAGATGCTAATCCAAGTGAGTTAACACCTGAAGTGAATATACTGTCAGTAGGTGCAGTCTAATTCAAATGTAACTTAGACTAGGAATGTGTATCTTATAGTGTATGGGTCAGACCTTCAGCAGTTAAAAGGCTGAGTGTTTCTCTTATAAAAGTCAACCTGGACCATTCAGAATAAGACACATTGGCTACTGCCTCTTCTTCACTGGCTAGAAGCTCCCATCCATTCAGCCAGAAGCAAGTGGAGACCTTAGTCAGTGTTTCTGGTGTCTTTAAGCCACTCATTAGATAATACTAACAGCCTGAGAAAATAACTTTTTACCAAAAGTTAAATTATTCCAGTCCATTCTGATCAAGAATGCTCAAGAGACTAGCTTTCCCACAACTGAGCTGTGGAGCAAAAAGCATAGTCCTTACCAACCTGCACCAATGAGCATGCCACAGCCTCCAGCCAGCTCTAGCACATACAGAATTTGAGTAAGGAATACTATAACCCCTATTTTACTCCTGTATATTTTACCATACTGAATACACTCACAAGTCAACCATCTAAAGGTTAGGCTTCTATCAATAGCTCTACTGTCAGTGATAAGACAAATCAACAATGTTAAGTGAGCAAAATGGGCTTTTTGTTGATATAAACAATTCATGAACTGGATATAATGTGCCTCTCTCTGCCATCTTTCATTAAGCATTTTTAACACCAGCAAAAGAGTTCAAATACTATCCCCAAACACCCTACCATGGGAATATAAATATGGCAATTAGGCCTTAAGAGTAATAATGTCGGGTTAAAGGATTTTTATCAGCAGCAGCTAAAAAGAAGCTCAGAAAATATTTCAACAAATTTCTTTACTGGGGGCATCAGGGCATTGCCATTGGTAACTGAGTACAGGTGGGAAAAGATTTTAAAGTAATGGCAATGACCTTCTCCTTAAGTTAGCTCTCTACCATTCTTTGAGGATAGTGTAGATTCCTCAAGAGAAACCAATAATATAACTCTGAGGTAATTATAGGAACTTTAAAATTTTAATGTAAAACTTTGAAGTAATTAAGATATTTTCTAAATTAGAGGTTGTCTTCTAGTATTCTGGTATGAGTAGGAAGAGATACCAGATAAGAGGATAAATAGTATCAATTTAATTTTTCCTACAGATTGGTAAGATGAGTATTTATTTTTCTGTTAATTATACTAAATATATACATCTAGTTCAGCTTTTCTGCATATTCAGCTAGAGGATGGGCAGAGTTAATAAAACCACTCATCTGGTCTAAAGTTTGGAAACTAGGCCCAGACCCACTTGGAAATTTGGATGAAAAGATAGGCCAGACACAATGGCTCACACCTGTAATCCCAGCATTTTGGGAGGCTGAGGCAGGTGGATCACAAGGTCAGGAGACCAAGACCATCCTGGCCAACCTGATGAAAGCCTGTCTCTACTAAAAATACAAAAAAAAAAAAAAAAGATGTATGATGGGCTAGGCATGATGGCTCACACCTGTAATCCCAAAACTTTGTTAGGCCAAGGCAAATGAATCATCTGAGGACAGGAATTTGAGACCAGCCTGGCCAATATACTGAAACCCCCATCTCTACTAAAAATACAAAAAAATCAGTTGGGCCTGGGGGGCATGTGCCTGTAATCCCAGCTACTCGGGAGGATGAGGCAGGAGAATCACTTGAACCTGGGAGGTAGAGGCTGCAGTAAGCTGAGATCACATCACTGCACTCCAGCCTGGGTGACAAGAGTGAAGCACCGTCAAGAAGGGGAGGGGAGGGAAGAGGAGGGAAAACAGCTGGGCATGATGATGCATACCTGTAGTGCCAGCTGCTCAAGAGGCTGAGGCAGGAGGATGGCTTGGGCATAGGAGTTTGGGCTGTAGTAAGCCCATGATTGCAACACCACTGCACTCCAGCCTGGCAAACGAGCAAGACCCCGATTCAAAGAGAAAAACAGACCAATTATCTTCATTAGAAGGGTATGTACAGCACAAGACATGGCAAAAAGTCAAGAGGTGGCAGTAAATGGGGTTTTAATTTTTTTATTTTTTTTGAGACGGAGTTTCACTCTTGTTACCCAGGCTGGAGTGCAATGGCGCGATCTCAGCTCACCGCAACCTCCGCCTCCCGGGTTCAGGCAATTCTCCTGCCTCAGCCTCCTGAGTAGCTGGGATTACAGGCATGCGCCACCATGCCCAGCTAATTTTTTATATTTTTAGTAGAGACGGGGTTTCACCATGTTGACCGGGATGGTCTCGATCTCTTGACCTCGTGATCCACCCACCTCAGCCTCCCAAAGTGCTGGGATTACAGGCGTGAGCCACCGCGCCCGGCCGGGTTTTAATTTTTCAGTGAAGATAAAAACAAAACTGCCTGTAAGATTTCTGCAGAATGGTGCTGCCACATAAAGACAAAGCACAGAAAGTAAGTGGTTGGGTATTCAAGCCAGTTGTCTGGGTACCCAGCCTTCTTACTGTGTGACTAGGACAATTTAATTAAACTCCTTTCTCCCATTTGTTCTTTTGTAAAATAAGGAAAACTATATTGTCTTTACAAGCAGAACAATATCGGATATATAATGCCAAAAGATACAGTATATGAAAAGCTTGGGACTTTTAAAAGATAGTAATTTTTATTAATAAATGACAAAATTTCTTTTTTTTTTTGGAGACAGTCTCTCATTGTGTTGCCCAGGCTGGAGTGCAGTGGCACAATCTCAGCTCACTGCAACCTCCACCTCCTGGGTTCAAGCAATTCTCCTACCTCAGCCTCCCAAGTAGCTGGGGCTACAGGTGCCTGCCACCATACCCAGCTAATTTTTCGTGTGTGTATTTTTAGTAGAGATGGGGTTTCACCGTGCTGGCCAGGCTGGTCTCGAACTCCTGACTTTGTCATCCGCCCACCTCAGCCTCCAAAAGTGCTGGGATTACAGCTGTGAGCAACCATGCTAGCCCATGACAAAATTTCTAAGTGGGTATAGGGAAGGGATAAATACTGCCTTCTCCGATGTGCATGCAGCAACTTGGGAAGAATAATATATTCAAGGCAGATCTAGGTTCGGATTCAGTACTATGACCCTAAACAAGTCATGTAACCTTTAAACCTCAACCTCATCATTGTAACTTGAGCAACACTACCTACCACATGGTATTGTTTTAGAATCAGATGTAATTCATGTGAGAGAGCTCTAACAATGTTAATTATGATCCAACTACTTTTTGAACAAACTGTAGGGGACTATGACATCTCTATTGTAGCTTATCATTCAAGGTCTTTAAGAGAGCCAGTTAGCAGAGCTTTTTACCATCCTTGCTCACAATCATTAAGATTAAGACATAGGAATTTTGTTTTGTTTTTTCTATAAAGAACTCCTAAAGCTCAATGACAAACACAATGGTGCTACCATTTTAGCCAATTCACTTCCAGTTACTGAGCCTGTGCTAGCTGGAGTACAGGGACTTGCACATAGGTAGAAGGAAGTTTACCAGAATGAGCTCCAAGTACTGAAGATGGGTCTCTGAAAATCTAAAACTTAAAGAGAACTCTTGAAATAGTCTGGCAATTACAAAAAGTAACAAATTAGTTGGAATATACCTGTGGTTATTAATGCCAATGTTAGATGAACCTTATATACAGTAGAATCCTCAAATGATAGCACAAGTCAGACGTGCCAATTATGGAATAGAGGTTTATACATCTTGATGAAATTTAATCACAATTAGACCAATAGCACTATAGAAAGCATCCACGCTTTATAAAATTCTAAGTAAGAAAAAATTGAGTTTAGCAGCCAAAGCAAGCATGAAATGAGGAAGAAAAGCAGCAAGAGAGCTAATGGTTATGTTTTTTGTTGCCTTGAGGAAGGTGGAAGGCCTGTTTTAACTCATATGAATAAGGCTCTAAACACTTCCTGAAGACTTAAACGTAGAGAAGGGCAACAGAATTCTTTAACTCTGGTGATACAACATTCAATTAAAATGGCATGCCTGCTTCAGTGTACCAATTCAGTGGATTCTACTGCTGTTCCTGCTTCCTAATGCACAGAAAAGGAGTTATGTGAACAATAAATTTAAAAATCCAGAGGCATGCAAGTGAACATCCATTCAGCATTCTCTGCCAGCCTAGCCCACCCCTCCCCTCATCTACCTTTTCCGTCCCACTTTATTGGCTAGTATGCTGCAACAAGTTACTAATAGCTAGCCAAGTCTCAGAAATCACAGAAGACCTATTTTGCAGTTAGTAAAAGTGTTAGTTTATAAGCCAGCTAGACTTGCTGCTTTTGATTTAACTTACTTGACTGTCACAACCTTCTTAAACTACCCCCTTTTTCATTTAGCCCTTTCCTAATCCAAAGGCAGACGGAAAATCCTGAATGGAAGGCTGACTTTTACCCATAATTAGTGAGTCAAATCCAGAATGTACTCCACCCACTGCAGCTCTTGCATATCCCGGTTACCTTCACCCTCTTTCATCTGTTCTTCTCTCTCTTGTGTCTCTTCATTAGCAGCTATCTGAACTTTGTCTTCAGGTGATTTCTCAGTAGCTCCCTGGGCTACCTTGGTATCAACCCCATTTCCAGCTGCCTCAGACTCTTCTACAGACAGCTTAGTCTCCTCCTGACTAGGAACCAGCTTTGCCCTGACCTTCTCTAGTCCTGAGCCATCTTTTGTTTCTGTCAGTCTTTCTATAGAAGTCTGTGGTTCAACAGAAGTCTGATCTCCTACAGCTGACGGTCCATTGACTGCACCATCTTTAGGGACAACTGTAGCCTCCTGCCCAGGCTTTTCAGAGACTTCTGATCCAACCTCTACAACTGAGGCCTCTGCAGCCTCTGTTGTCACCTCTGGCAACTCTTCAGCAGATGGCACTTCTTGACCTACCAGCTGCTCAAGAACTACCTTTCCTGCATCATTTTCAGAGGTAACTACCTCCTCCTCTGGCTTGTCCCCGCCCACATCCACTGGCTTGACTGTCGGGTCTAAAGACTCTGCTTCTACCTCCACTGCAGTGCCCTGCTTTTCTACAGTCACCATAGGCTGCTCTTCTGAACCTTCTTTTGGCTTCTCCTCTACGCTTACAATTACCTCTCCCTGCTTCTCCTGACCTCCTTTTTCTCTGTACTCCTCCTGGACATCAGTTCCAGAAACTGACTGTTCTTCCTCAGCATCTGGTATTTCCTGTTCTGGCTTCCCAGAAGGGACCTCAGCTTCATTCGGTCCTTCTGGTGCTGCTCCTCTTGCCTCTTCAGAGGTTTCAGTTAACCGATCTAGAGTCAAGTCAACTTTTTCCTGTGGCTCCTCTGCAGATTCACTTATCTCCATATCTTCTCTTCCACCCTTCTCCATTTCACTCTCCTGTTCTTTATCAATTTCATGCTTTGCCAAAGACTTGTCTTCTGTTTTTTTGGCTTCTTCTTTTTCTCCCATGGCGTCATAAACCTGTTCTCTCAACTCTTCCCTTGCTTCCTCTACATGGTTAAAGAACATGAAGCATAAACATGTCTTCGAGTTTAATGATAAAGGCATAAATGGAAACTAAAAATACATTCCCTTTAAACCCTCAAAAAGCCTACCAAGTTTTAGCAGATGGCCTAAAAATTATCTGCCCCCTAGAGAAAAGGAAAGGGAACGTCCCAGCTAGCAGAGCGACTTACTGCAAAAGAAACCCAAGCTTGTTAAACTAGATACTGTTTTACTTGAGCATTCCGATTACCAGTTAGGTAAGAGATGCTAAGCTTTTCATTCTCCCCCATCTGGTATGTAAAACTCTAGTAGCCAAATTCAGCTTAGAAATTATATATAAATTTCATAGACATTAAAAAATGTAAAAGGGCTCTAAAAGTACCGCTATTAAAATAACTGAACTGCACAGGCTGTTTAAAAAAATCTGCATTGCAAAAATATTTAAGGTTGTAATAGTATTTAAAACACCAATTTAATTTTGCTTTTTATCTTTTTGGTTTAAAAACCCCCAATTGAAATAACCAGATTCACTTAAGAAATTAAGTTATTCTCTTATGAAAACCTGCTGTGAGTTTCAGTAATCAGCTACCCCTACTGCAATCTCCACCAGATGCAGGCATCACCCCAAGCATCTTAGGAGAGACCATCCAGGACAGGTAGAGCCCTGTTTCCACCACTTGTATACAAGAAATATACAATGTCGCATCTCTTGAATGTCACATGCAACTCTACATACCATCTATGTTATCATTATTTTCTACTAGAGATTCATCTTCTGTTTTTTCTCCTTCTTCCTCTTCCACATGCACACCTTCCAAGGCGTTTCCCAACACACCATTCTCCATTCTAGAAGAACAAGAGGAGAAAGCACCAAAGGTTTGATGGCTAGAACCTAACAATTTTTTCTAAGACAAAAAATATAGTCCTATATTTTTTGTCTTAGAAAAAAAATTTTTTTTTCTCCTCCCAAAGTGCTGGGATTTTTTGTTTGTTTGTTTTTCCCGCCTCCCAAAGTGCCGGGATTACAGGCGTGAACCACAGCACTGTGGCTCAGGCCTGTAATCCCGGCACTTTGGGAGGCCAGGGCAGGCTGATTACCTGAGGTCAGGAGTTCGAGACCAGCCCAACTAACATAGTGAAACTCCGTCTATACTAAAAATACAAAAATTAGTTGAGCATGGTGGCACATGCCTGTAATCCCAGCTACTAGAGAGGCTGAGGCAGGAGAATCGCTTGAACCCACAAGATGGAGGATGCAGCAAGCTGAGATCACACCACTGCACTCCAGCCTGGGCCAAAAAAGGCTTTGTCTTAAAACAAAAACACAAACACACTCTCTCTCTCTCTCTCTCTCACCAGAACTGAGATTAACAGTTCTGTTAATGACATCATTTCCTAGTTTGTACATACCCTCAACAGAACTTACTCTGGTTAATAAATTCTAGTAGAACATAGCCAAGACCTTTTCAATAGAAAGAGTTTATTTTCAACAGTATTACATGCTAGTTCTTTCCAGTTGTCACTCTTTTCAGTCCTTGTTTTGAGCTAGCTCAGGGTGCTTTTAAAGATTCTCACTCTAAACTGGGCGCAGTGGCTCACACCTATAATCCCAGCACTTTGGGAGGCCAAGGCGGGTGGATCAGCTGAGGTTGGGAGTTCAAGACCAGCCTGACCAACATGGAGAAACCCCACCTCTACTAAAAATATAAAATTAAAGCAGGGCGCGGTGGCTCAAGCCTGTAATCCCAGCACGTTGGGAGGCCGAGGCGGGTGGATCACGAGGTCAAGAGATCGAGACCATCCTGGTCAACATGGTGAAACCCTGTCTCTACTAAAAATACAAAAAACTAAGGCCGGGAGCGGTGGCTCAAGCCTGTAATCCCAGCTCTTTGGGAGGCCGAGGCGGGCAGATCACGAGGTCAAGAGATCGAGACCATCCTGGTCAACATGGTGAAACCCCGTCTCTACTAAAAATACAAAAAACTAGCTGGGCATGGTGGCGTGTGCCTGTAATCCCAGTTACTCAGGAGGCTGAGGCAGGAGAATTGCCTGAACCCAGGAGGCGGAGGTTGCGGTGAGCCGAGATCGCGACATTGCACTCCAGCCTGGGTAACAAGAGCGAAATTCCGTCTCAAAAAAATATATATATATAAAATTAGCCAGACATGGTGGCACATGGCTGTAATCCTAGCTACTTGGGACTCTGAGGAAGGAGAACTGCTTGACCCCGGGAGGCAGAGGCTGTGGTGAGCCAAGATAGCACCATTGCACTCCAGCCTGGGCAACAAGAGCGAAACTCTGTCTCAAAAATAAATAAATAAAAATAAAGATTCTCGGGCCGGGCGCGGTGGCTCAAGCCTGTAATCCCAGCACTTTGGGAGGCCGAGGCGGGCGGATCACGAGGTCAAGAGATCGAGACCATCCTGGTCAACATGGTGAAACCCCGTCTCTACTAAAAATACAAAAAATTAGCTGGGCATGGTGGCGCGTGCCTGTAATCCCAGCTACTCAGGAGACTGAGACAGGAGAATTGCCTGAACCCAGGGGGCGGAGGTTGCGGTGAGCCGAGATCGCGCCATTGCACTCTAGCCTGGGTAACAAGAGTGAAACTCTGTCTCACAAAAAAAAAAAAGAAAAGAAAAATAAAGATTCTCTGTATTGAACTTTGGATCATTCACTATTGGATAATCTTTCCTTCTAATGACTCAAAAAGTCAAAACTTAAATATAACTACTAATTGCATCAAGTGCCATTCACAACTTCCAACACTACTTCGAGCTCCTTCAAAACTCTCTAGGCAATCTTGCTTGGCTAAATCTCAAAGCTGGTAAATAATCTTAACAAGGAAACTTCAGTTTGTAAATACAACATCCATACCTTGCTAACTCCAGAAGTGATTTCCCATAGAAAAAGAAGGCTTCTCCACACTCATTAGCTGTCTCTCCATACTTCTTACCTCTACAAAGAGAATAAACATTTAAAATCTGAATTAACATCTAGTCTAAAACATTTAGTTCTAGTTCTTCAGTTATAAATTAATATTTCTTCCATGACATACTCCTTCCAAAGAAACCAATATCCCTCTTGCTTTCAAGTCAAGATCAAAAGGACGTTAAGAAACGATGCATGAAAATCCTGTATGCTCTTTATCAACATATATCCTAAGCGACATACTGTGCTATAATTGGTAATATAATTTAGGTATTAAAACAGGTATTCCTCCTACTACAAGATGTCAATATGGACCAGAATAGTTAAAGGACCTTTAGCTGGGACCTAGAAGATGATTAAGGCCCACAGAAAGGCATGATGTAAAGAGCAGAATACCTGGAGTTGTTCTGCCTGGGTTCAAATACTATCTTTAACCAATAACTAACTGTGAGACCTTAGACAAATTAGTCTCAAAGTCCCTTAGTTTTCTCATCTGTCAAATGGGAATGTTAATAACTGTTTGTTAAAAGAGCTACTGAAAGAACTAAATAATATATGTAAAAGCACTAAAAACAATGTTTAGCGACCAACTTCTAAGCAACTGCAACAATGCTAAGAATGTATGAAAAATCTGCCGGGCGCGGTGGCTCAAGCCTGTAATCCCAGCACTTTGGGAGGCCGAGGCGGGTGGATCACGAGGTCAAGAGATCGAGACCATCCCGGTCAACATAGTGAAACCCCGTCTCTACTAAAAATACAAAAAATTAGCTGGGCATGGTGGCACGTGCCTGTAATCCCAGCTACTCAGGAGGCTGAGGCAGGAGAATTGCCTGAACCCAGGAGGCGGAGGTTGCGATGAGCCGAGATCGCGCCATTGCACTCCGGCCTGGGTAACAAGAGCAAAACTCTGTCTCAAAAAAAAAAAAAAAAAAAAAGAAAAATGTGCCAAAGATGTATGAAAAATGTTGTGCTAATAACAGCACTATCAATCATGACTTCCTTGGGCCTAAAGGGTTTCCACAGACATAGAATTTCCAGTGTTCACAATTGGGAAAGCCAGGCTGGGCTCAGTGGCTCATGCCTGCAATCCCTTTACAAAGCACTTTGGGAGGCCAAGGCAGACAAATTCCTTAAGCCCAAGAGTTTGAGACCAGCCTGGGCAATTTGGGGAAACCCCATCTCTACAAAGAAAATACAAATACCATCTCTACAAAGAAAATACAAATATTAGCTGGGCATAGTGGAACACACCTGTTGTCCATAGGGGGATAAATTGAACCTGGGAAGTGAGTATGAGAGCATCCCACTGCCCTTCAGCCTGGGTGACAAGAGACTGTCTCAAAAAAGTCAGGGGTGGAGAGGGTGTGGCGGGGGTAAGTCCTGGACAAACCAGGCCAAGGTGTAGTCACCCAAATTTGTGATGACTGAAATGTAAGTTACGTTAATCAGGAAAATGAAAGGGTAGAATTGCTAGGTGACATTTAGGTTTTACACCTACAGTTAGTGATACAAACTAAATGAAAAATAATCAAATCTGTTTTGTTTTGTTTTGGTTTTTTTAAAAAGATGGGGTTTCACCATGATGGCCAGGCTGGTTTTGAAATCCTCACCTCAGGTGATCCACCCACCTCGGCCTCCCAAAGTGCTAGGATTACAGGCATGAGCCACCATGCCCAGCTAATCAAATGTTTTTAAACTCTTGCTCTTCATGCTTTTTCCCTATTAAACAATCTTTTATAACTCAAGGTTTATTAGGAACATAATATTACATCATAGCAAAATATACAATACTTACAAAAGACTAGCTGCTTCCTGGAATGCATTGACAGCTGCTGGAATATCCCCCATCACCAGATGTTTCTGTCCTAAACCCAGTAATTTCTTAGCTTCACTATCCACATCCAGACTGCAAAAAAAAAAAAGATTTTTTTTTTATAGTGTCAAGTACTGTTTAAATCAATATTTTCTGAATACCTATTACATTTGAACAATAGTTTAATTTTTTTAAACTTTTGGACTACTCTGGCAAGGCCTGGATAACACGTATTTACCATCGCAAAACCAAAAGAAATCTTAAAGGCAACATTCTCAGAAACTTGACTAGAGTATTTTCTCATAATGCCTCATCTACTCACAAAGCCTGTATTGTATGTTACTATAAATATTTGCCAATAAAACAACAAAAAAGGCATCATAAAAGAATCATAAATTCATACAAACTGTACTAGCTAAAAGAAATATTAAAATTAAGAAGTATTTAGGTAAACAGGGCAAGAGGCAGTGATTTTAAGATTAAGACAATGTAGTATTCCCATAAAGCAAAGCAAATGGATCAGATAGAACACAGAGTACAAAAATAGATCCACAAATATATGACTAACTGAAATTCTGACAAAGGTACCAAGACAATGCAATTGGGAATGGATAATCTTTCCAACAAATGGTGCTGCAGTGACTATAAATCCACATGCAATAAAGTGAACTTCAGCTATTATACCTCATACAAAAATTAATTTGAAATGGATCATAGGCTTTCTAAATATAAGATTTAAACCGGCCAGGCACGGTAGCTCACACCTGTAATCCCAGCACTTTGGGAGGCCGAGGCAGGTGGATGACAAAGAGATCAAGACCATCCTGACCAACATGGTGAAACCCTGTCTCTAGTAAAAATACACATAAATTAGCTGGTCTTGGTGGCAGGCGCCTGTAATCCCAGCTACTTGGGAGGCTGAGACAGAAGAATTGATTGAACCCAGGAGGCGGTGGTTGCGGTGAGCTGAGATCGCGCCACTGCACTCCAACCTCGGTGACAGAGTGAGATTCCATCTCAAAAAAAAAAAAAAAAGATTTAAACGATAAAATTTCTACAAAAATATACAGAAGAATATCTTAGTGACTTTGGGTTTGGCAAAGACTTTTTAAATATGAAAGCAGCACAAACTATTAACAAGAGAAAAAAAATCAATAAACCAGACAAACCACTAAAATGAAGAATGTTTGCTTTTTGAAACACTGTTTTAAGCCAAACTGGGAGAAAATATATGCAAAACTTCTGAGAAAGGACTTGAATACATAACTCTTAGAGCACAATAAAATTAACAATCCAATACAAAGGGGGCAAAGATTTTAACAAACATGTCATCAAAGATACAAGGATGGCAAATAAGCACATGAAAAGATGTCAGTATTACTCATCACTCAAAAAACTACTAACTAAACCCACAATAAGGTACTGTTATACTCACTGTAAGGGCTAAAATGTTAAAGACTGACTCAAGTGATGATGACGATGTAGAGCAACTAGAACTCTTAAACACTGCTAGAAAGAATATAATGGTAGAATCACTTCAGAAAACAGTTTTGGAGTTTCTTAGATATATACCAGCCATATTATCTTGCCATTCTACTCCTAGGTATGAACCGCAAAAATGGAAATGAATGCCCATACAAAGCCTTGCACACAAATATTCACAGCAGCTTTTTTTGTATGCCAAAAACTGGAAACCCAAATGGACAAATTCTACATAATGAAATATCATTCACTAACAACAATGTACTATTAATACATGTGGTAACATGGATGAATCACAAAATAATTGTGCTGAATCAAAATAACCACAAAAAGAAACAGTACTTACTGTATGATTCTATTTAGATAATAGTCTACAAAATGCAACCCATCTTCAGTGACAGAAAGCAGATTAATGGTTGCTGGGGAGGGAATGAAGTACAAAGGCACATGAGGAAACTTTGAGGTGATGAATACACTCATTATCTTGATTGTGATAATGGTTTACAAGTGTATATATATAAAAACTCGTAATTGTTACTTTAAAGTTATATGCAGTTTCCTGTGTGTTAATTACACCTTCATTTAATGTTTCTTACAGCTTTAAGAAAATCCTGGGGCAGTTCCATTAATGGAAACCAAATTATTTGGAAGGATAATTGCTCTTCTTAATTCAATCAACAATACTTGGGCACCTAATATTGCTGGGCACAATTCAAGACACTGATTATAACAAGAGTGAACTAAGAACACATAGACAATGTCAAATTGAAGCAAAGACTTTAAGAAGGCAAGCCCCAAAGAAATACAGGGAGGGAAAAAGCACTCTAGGGCAGAGGCAACAATAAGTTCAAAGCTTAAAGAAGTTTGCTTAAAATACTTGAGAAACAGAAAAATTTTCCAGCTAGAGTAAGCTGGGGAAGAAATATGGGAAATAAAGAGAAAGAGGGAGAGGGTAGCATCACATTAGAATAGACTTTAAGACAGAACAAGAATAGAATTGGGGAGAAAACCAGTTAGAAATAAAGTCTAAGGCAGGTGGCTCCTACCTACAATCCCAGCACTTTGGGAGGCCAAGGTGGGATGATCACTTGAGCCCAGGAGTTCCAGACTAGCATCTCTACAGGAAAATATCAAAATTAGCTGACATCCTGGTGTGCACCTGCAGTCCCAGCTACTTGGGAGGCTGAGGCAGGAGGACTGTCTGAGCCCAGGAACTCAAGGCTGCAGTGAACTATGATCACACCACTACACTCCAGCCTGAGCAACAGAGCAAGACCCTATGTCAAAAAAATAAATTTAAAAAGGTCGCCTGGTGGGGCATGGTGGCTCATGCCTGTAATCCTAGCACTTTGTGGGGTCAAGGTGGGCGGATCACGAGGTCAGGAGATCGAGACCATCCTGGCCAACATGGTGAAACCTCATCTCTACTAAAAATAAAGAAATTAGCTGGGCATAGTGGCACACACCTGTAGTCCCAGCTACTAGGGAGGCTGAGGCAGGAGAATTGCTTGAACCCAGGAGGCAGAGGTTACAGTGAGCCAAGATTATACGACTGCACTCCAGGTCTTTAAAAAACAAAAACAAAAACAAAAAATTCCTTTTCCATAAGAAACGAAAGAAGGAAACCATAAGAATCTAGACAAGAACCTGAAGAGTATTACAGAGGATTAGGTTCTGAATATACTTTACAATGTACTAATAGCCTAGATATGTAATTTCTTGAATGAAAGAGAGATCAAGCAAACGTTTTATGGCCTAGCCAACTGGTATTAAGTGTTATTAATGAACTATGTAGAACTTTTACCTACATTTAAATTCTAGGATCCAAACCTCATAAAATTGTCGAATCATTACCCCCACTTTACATATGGAAAACTGAGTATTAATGGCAGTCAGTGATTCAAATCTACACAATCTAGATTCAAAATTCTAGAACATTGCCATTTACTGAGAAAAAGTCAGTTGAAGGAAAATCCAGTGAGGAACAAGGCAATCGATTACTGTACAGTATTTAGCTTTGGATATGTTAATTCTAAGATCCCTATTAGACCTCCAAGATATTATAAGGGAAAATTTTGGGGAGATATGTGGGGACTACAGATACAAATGGGATTCAGGTGCTTAAAGCCACAGGACTTAACAGGGAGAATACATATGGAGTGGCTACTAATGAAGAGGTAGGACTGAGACCTCTTCATTAGTAGGAAGCCTTCCAACATTTAAATGTAGGTAAGAATAAGGGTTTGGGGGAAAAGTCAGTAAAGGAAAAGAGACAAGAAAATAATATGAAGTAAAGTAACAGAACTGGGTGCAGGGGCTGACCAACATGGTGAAACCCGTCTCTACTAAAAATACAAAAATTAGCCAGGCATGGTGGTGCACACCTGTAATACCAGCTACTGGGGAGGCTGGGACAGCAGAACTGCTTGAACGCAGGAGGCAGAGGTTGCAGTGAGCCAAGATTGCACCATTGCACTCCAGGCTGAGTGACAGACTCCATCTCAAACAAACAAAAACAAACAACAACAACAAAGGAAAGAAAATAAAGTAATGGGAGTAATGGATTGGGTCAATTCCCAATGACAAGATTAACTCAGACAATAGGACTACTTAAAAAAAAAAAACCTTAACTCAGCTGAGAGATGACTACTAGAGTAAGGAATATGGGTGGTGTTAATGACCACAAACAAGACTATTTTAGTAGAACGACAGAGAAAAACTTGAAGCTTCAATTAACAAAAGAGGAAGTAGAGAAAGAGTAGACACCTGTTAAATATTCTCCTGTCAAAGAAATTGATGTGAGGTAATAGATGAAGGGAGGTATGAGGAGTCAACAGTTAAACCCGGTGATACCTAGTGGGTTGATACAACTTATCTCATAGGAAACAAGAGTAGTATTGTTGCATAGAGAACTACAGGAGCTCTATTCTTAAGAAAATGATGAGTGGGATTTTGTGAACAAATGGAGATGATGATGTTATGTAAGAGCAAAGAAACTTTGGTATCAGGATCCTTTACACCAGGAGTCCCCAAACTTTTTACACAGGGGGCCAGTTCACTGTCCCTCAGACCGTTGGAGGGCCGCCACATACTGTGCTCCTCTCACTGACCACCAATGAAAGAGGTGCCCCTTCCTGAAGTGCGGCGGGTGGGGGAGGATAAATGGCCTCAGGGGGATGCCTGCTTTACACCGTTACATTACTGAAGTCCCCCAAAAGTCTCTGTGTATGCAAGTTATATCAGTATCCACCATACTGAAATTAAAACTAAAATAAATAATTTTAAATATTTTAAAATGGTACATGTTAACATGACTTTTTTTTTTTTTTTTTTTTTGAGACGGAGTTTCGCTCTTGTTACCCAGGCTGGAGTGCAATGGCGCGATCTCGGCTCACCGCAACCTCCGCCTCCTGGGTTCAGGCAATTCTCCTGCCTCAGCCTCCGGAGTAGCTGGGATTACAGGTAGGCGCCACCATACCCAGCTACTTATTGTATTTTTAGTAGAGACAGTTTCACCATGTTGACCAGGCTGTTCTCAAACTCCTGACCTCAAGTGATCCGAAGCCTTGGCCTCCCGAAGTGCTGGGATTGCAGGCATGAGCCACTCTACC